GGTGTGGTTTGCCATTTCTTTCTCTAGCTCATTTTACAGATGAGGAAACTGAGGCAAACAGGGTTAAGTGATTTGCTCAGGGTTACACAGTGTATAAATGGCTGAGGATGGACTTGAACTCAGAAGATGAATCTTTCTGACTCTAGGCCCAGCACTCTATCCACTGTGCCATCTGTAGATGCTACAATAATCATATTATTCCATACAAATAATAATTGAGCATATTCCATTTACTTTTTAAATGATCAGTAAGTATTTCATTGATATTATTACATAGTAGCCAAGGTACCCAATCATAGATTTTGATGCTGTTTCTGAAGAACTTAAATACAGTGAGTCAAGCTTATCTGTTGGAGGGAATTGCCCTTTTCTAGACGAAAGCTTTGAAATGGTCTTCTTTTAGACCCTTAAATTTTTAGGGAAGATAATTCATTTTTGTAGCATTGGCAATGTACAGACTGATTGAGCTAGAATATACACATACATATGTATATTTACACACATACATGTATGCATACATATACCCATATGTACATATTTTTATATTTCTTCTTTTTTACTACATATGGATAAGTTACTTCAACTCCAGGACCATCAGTTTCTTTATCTATAAACTAATAACCTTTCTGTTTCTAAATCTCTGAATTCCTAATTTTAAAACTGATAAATTAGTCATTTTAGCTATGAATTATGGAGACTTGTTGAATTAAAAGTTTTGAAATGTCCAGAAAGATATTAGGATAAGGTTTTTAGTATCTTGTCTTAAATTATATTTAGTTTTTAAAGTAATAATTCTTATTCAATTCAACAAACATTTATTAGTTTCTATAGTAAAAATCCCAATTTAACAAACATTATTTATTAAGCATTTACAACATACAACATGCTGGGTTAGATAAAAAAATGATACAAAGACAAAAATGGAAGTCTGCCCTCAAGGATTTTCAGGTGAGGAGATGCAAAATACACCCATAAGTATTTATATGTAAGGTTGTTATGTAAATTCAAAAAAGAAAAAAACAAAACAAAACTGAGAAGATGTGGAAAGGCTTGCTGTAGGATTTGGAATTTCCAGTGTGCTTTGAGGAAAATCAGAGATTGTGTGCAGTGGATGGTAAAGAAGGAGTGCATTCCAGACAAGGGAATCATCCATGCAAAGATGCGGAAACCAGGAATTGACTTGTTATTGGGGAGCAGCTAGTAGGCCAGTTTGACTGGGATGGAGAGTTCCTGAAGGAGGATATTATGAAATAAGACTGGGAAGGTACGGGGGAGTTATTTTGAAGGCTTTCAATACTAGCCCTGGAGATCTTGCATTTTATCCTAGGTGCAGTAGAGAGCAATTTAAGATAGTTGAGTAGGGAAGTAGCTGATTCAGATCTATGTTTTAGAACTATCAGTTTGGCATCTATGTGGAAAAGGAGACCAATTAGGAAGCTACAGTATTGAAGTTGTGGAGTAAAAGGTAGAAAGAAAGGAGGGATGAGAGATTTGCTTTATAGGTAGAATCAGCAGGACTAGGCAAATCATAATATGGGGTAGGGGAAAAGAGAAAATTCAAGAATAGCACCGAAGTTGGGAGCATTTAACAGTTTATTTCCTGTGAAATTCTAGACTGATGTTGGTAACCTGTGGCCCCATGACAAAGCTGGCATATAGGATGACTTTCTGTGGTATCAGGTCATCTGTCACCTCTGCTGTGGTTCCCCTCAGTGAGCCCCTATGTGCTGCCAACAATCACCAGCCACCCCTGCAATCTTCTTGAGGTTTAGCATATTTATTACCACCCTCCCTGTCCTGCCCTGTTTACCCCAGAATAGTTAAAAATACTGTTTACATGGGAACCCTTAGGAACTCATGCAAAATGATATAAGCAGAACCTAGAAAATGGTGTACTACCACACAGTGACTACCACAGTGTAAGTGAAAAGAACCACAGAAACAGCAACATCGAAACCAATGTTGTATAATTTGAGGATGTCCTTCCTCCCTTTGCAGAGGACAGGAATTATAGTTGTGGAACATTGCTTATACTGCTGGACTTGATTAATGTTGGTTTGTTTTGCTGAATTCTTTTTTTCTTTTTTTTCTTTGTTATAAGGGATGGCTTTCTGTGTGAAAGAGAGGAGAGAAATATTGGGGGGGAAAGGGAATATAAAAATAAAAGATACTAATAAAATAATGTAATATGAAGCCATCATATACAGCAGATTACTTAGCATTCCATTTCATTGAAAAGATCGAGCCCATAGCTCGCCTTTCGCCATTACTCAAAATTTCTTGCCCTCATGACCCTTTCTTTTGTTTCCCTCAAAATACACAGAAGAAAATATTCCATTTTTCCTGCCTCCTCTGGTTTTTTTATCTTGCTCTTATAGTTAAATCACTTTGCCAATGCTTTTTAATGCTCCTCTTTGCAGCCCCATTCTCACCTCCTTAGGTTTCCTCAAACTCAAAAACATCTTTCCCTTGGTGAGGCTATTTCACTATCTTTCCCCTCCAAACCCTGTCTTCCAAACTTCCCTAGAACTCTCTAGTCACCTAGGCTCACAATCTAGGGGTCACCAGTATCACCCACCCATGCACAGCACAGTGCCTGGCATGTAGTAGACACTGAATAGAACTGCAGCCTTTCGTTGCCTCTGGGGTGTCCCCGTTCAGGTTTCCAATCTGTTTACCTGTACTCATAATGACTTCCATGGCCGGATTCGTCTTCAGTTGCCCACAGGCGTCTAGCTAACTTTTTGTGCCATCCTGCGTGGCATGAAGATACTTATTAGAATAATTTTTCCTTGGATATATCAGTTATTTAAATTGTCCCTTTTAGATTTTTGTTGAGTATAGGTAGGAGAATTGGGCTCCTTTATATCCTTTTATGTTACCATCTTACCTGTAATCTCCTAGCATCTTTAAAAACTGAGCTCAAGGACCATCTTGTTCAGTGGAACTTTTCCTAATTCTCCCAATACTAATGTGTCCTGACCCTTAGCCCATGAAGTTACTCTGTGTGTGTGTGTGTGTGTTTTATATTTATATGGATACATGTTATTTCCTCTAATAGAATATTAATTCCTCGAGGACAAGGCTTGTTTCCTTTTTTGTCTCAATATCTTTGGCACTTAACATAGTGTTTGAAATACTGTTGTTGTTCAGTTGTTCTTAGTGACCCAATTTAGGGCTTTCTTGACAGAGATGCTAGAGTGGTTTGCCATTTCCTTTTCCAGTGTATTAGGGCAAAGGTAAGTGATTTACGTGTCTGAGGCCGGATTTGAACTCAGGTTTTCTTCACTCCAGGCCCAGCACTCTATCCACTGAGCCACCTAGCTGTGTCTGTTTGAAATACAGTAGGTTCTTATTCAAATGAATGAATTTTTTACAGTGTTACTTGACTAGGTAAATCAAGGAAATGCTGAGGAATATAATATAATTCACCAAGCATTTATTTTGTTGTTAGTCATTTTTCAGTCATGTCTGACTGTTTTTAACTCCATTTGGGGTTTTCTTGGCAAAGATACTGGAGTTGTTTGCCATTTCCTTTTCCAGCTCATTTTACAGATGAGGAACTGAGGTAACCAGAGTTAAGTGGCTTACCCAGGTCACACAACTAGTAAGTATCAGAGGTCACATTTGCACTCAGGTCTTCCTGACCCCAGGCCTGGCGCTCTATTCACTGTGTGACCCAGCTGCCCCAATTTTAGTTATTAACTATTGACTATTACACTTAGGTTAAAATAAAAGTATTTAAGATTAGGATTGGGAGAGGCATAGCTAAGCACCAGTTTATATAAGAAAGATCTGTGGGTTTCAGTGGACTGCAAGTTCAAAATGAGTAAAAATGGCAGTTAAGTAGAAAAAAAGTAATATAATCGTTGGCTTCATTAATAGAGGCGTGGCATGCAGAATAAAAGAGCTAACTTTCCCAATGTACTCTGCCCTTGGCAGACATCTGGAATATTATGATCACTGCTGTATGTTGCATATTTGAGTGCTGTCACTGAACAGAGTAGTGTCCCAAGGTGGGGGTAGCTGGCTGACTTGTTTTTTGGGCTGCAGCAGATTGTGATCAGGTGTGATCATCCAGCTCTAGGTAATGTCAATCCAAGTTGTATATACCTCCCTCTTCTCTTTCATTCCTCCCCTTGTTGCATTTTGCATTCCTACCCCACTGGACTGCTGTGTATAACATTTCCTTTCCTGCTTCTGTGCCTTGGCAGGAGTGCTTCTCTGTCCCCATCTCTCCATCCTATAGCATCCCCTTGAGGCTTGAACCTCAGTGCATGTGCTGCTCACTCTCTACGTGAGGCCTTTCCTGATTGTTCTAATTTGTTTTCACATCTCCCTCTTGAAATTACTTTATTTGAACTTGTTTATACTTTATATTTGATTATTTGTGTACATGTTGCATCTCCCTAGTAGAATATAAGCATTTTTAGGAGAGAATCTTTAATTTTTATCTTTGTATGCCCTATGCCTAGGGTAGTTTGTTTCATGTAGTTGGTGTTTAATAAATGTTTATTGAAATTTAAACCATTGATTAATTCTGGCACTTTGCCTAGTTAATAGCTTAGAATATGATTATTTAGTTGCTTTAATTTTTCAGGTATAAACAGTATTTTGCTTTAACAGTCAAAGTGTCAGGTATTTTTTTTTTGGCATACCTAATATGGTATCATGTATGGAGATGAAACTCGTTTCTCCATGAACTTAGAGCACCATAACCTTGGTTGGTCTTCAGACACAATCTAAGCTGAAAGCTTTGAGCATAAAGTGTGAATTTTCCCTCTTAAAAATCAAGCTTTTAGGTATTTTCTTTGATTTGCCTGTCACAAAATAATAGAAATATTTATCAAATTGCCTTTCTTGGTTTTGTCATTTTGGCAGTACTTTGAGTTATATTATATACTCTGACTTAATGAAGTTATTACACTAATCTATTTGAATTGTGTTCATATATATGTGTAGAGAGAGGTATGAATATTTTTTTTTCTTTCCCTATATAGGACTCACCAAGGAATGTGAAATCCTTTGCATCTCTGCTGAGACATTCTCCTATAATTCAGATGGGACCTGCCAAAGATAAAATTGTCTTTGGACAAATCTTCCATGTTGTGGAAAATGACCTTTATATAGATTTTGGTGGCAAGTTTCATTGTGTGTGCAAAAGACCAGAATCAGATGGAGAGTAAGTAGTAGCATGATTAAGTATGATTAAGTAATACTGTTTTAAAAAATGTTTTACTGATGCTTTTAGAAAAAGATTTCTAGTCCTTCCCAATACTGCACTCCAGTAGAACTTTTTCTTCTGATAAAAAAGTCCAGTTAAACAAAACCAACCAGCATGCTGATCACGGTTAACATAATATGCTCTTTTCTTTCCTTTAATCTTTACCTGTTTCCTGAGAGGAGGCGTCATCAATTCTGCGTGATCGAGATTAGTTAGTACCTCCAACTGAGTTTGGGTGTGTGGTATTGTTGTTTTCCTTTATATTGTGTTCCTCATAACTGACTGCTTACTTTCTGCTTACTTCATTCAACATCAGTTCAGTTTTCTTCATTTCAGCAGTCATTTATTAAAGGCCTATCATGTCCATGGCATTCTAAATACAGAGAGAAATGGAGGGTCTTTGCCCTTAAGGAGTTTATATTTTCATTCTTGCGAATCTTTCCAAGTTGCTCTGAATTCTTCATAATCCTTATTTCTTTTGATGTAATAATATTCCATTACATTCATATACTATAGTTTATCTCATGCTCTTTGAAACTCAGTTTCCTCATCTATCAAATAGAGGTAATAATACCCCTTGTTCCTACCTAGGGTTGTTTTTAAAGATCATTTGGGGGGCAGCTAGATGGAACAGTAGATAGAGCTCTGGCCTTGGAGTTGGGAGGACCTGGGTTCAGATCCAGCCTCAGACACTTGACACTTGCTAGCTGTGTGACCCTGGGCAAGTCACTTAACCCCAATTGCCTAAGCAAAAAAAAAAAGATCAATTGATATAATGTATATAAGGTGTTTTATAATCCATAACACAGTATTTTAGTGTCAGATGTTAAGATGATTATGATTTTCTAGTCATTTCATATCTTTCCCTATTTGAGTAGCTTCAAAATCAGTTCCCAAATGATTCCACAATTGTGTTCTCCTTAGGATATTTTCTGTGCCTTGATCAGGTCAGCCATTCTTTCCTATTTCATCTTAAATGCCATTTTAGTTTCATTATATGGCACATTGGGTATTATATTTTAGTATTGAAAGGAATACTATTTGATAAAACAGGAGAAAAAAAGGCTTATTTTTTTCTCCACTGTTTTTTGCTCTTTGTGAAGCAAATACTGATCATATAATCTGGGCTCTGAATTGAGCAGGAAGAATAGGCTATACTGATTTTCTTCTGGGAAATTGCATGCTACTTTCAATTATTCTCAGCTGCATACCAATGCAAAAGCCTATTACTTTAATGCCGATGGTCTGTTGCTGCAGATTTTAAAACTCTGCTATCTCAGAAAAATTAAACGAGCTGCCCCAAAGGCAATGAAAAAATATTACTTAACATCAACAGACTGCATCATGCTACAAGTGAAAACTTACATACACGAAGTGATATACAGGACATTATCAAATATATTTATGACCTGAAAATGAGGAGTGGATCAGAAATTGAAATAGATGGACAGCCTGAGTGGGAGCCCTGAGATATTAAAAGAATATGAAAATAGTCTTTGGACTATAGAGTAGACTTTCAGTTGTTGATAGGGGAAGATACAGTGACAGATGGCTTAGAGGACAGATCTAGAACAGGGGGTAAAGTTAGCAGAGGCAAGTTTGGTCTTGATATGTAAGTAGAAACTTCTGAACAATTAGCAAACATTTATTAAACATCTACTCTGTGCCAAGTAGTGTGCTAAGCAATGGAGATACAAAGAAAGGCAAAAAACAGTCTGCCCTTGAGGAGTTCTCAGTGTAAAATGGGGGAAACAACATGAAAACAACTCTGTAGAAACAAGCTGTCTACACCATCTTTGGTCATGTGGAATCATAACTTGTGATGGCATTGATCAGAGTTCTAGAATCTTTTAATGTTGTTGTCATTGTATAAAATGTCCTAGTTTTCACTTCACTCTGCATCAGTTCATACAGATCTTTCCAATTTCTTCTGAAACCATCTATTTCATTATTTTTTATAGCACAATAATTATGCTCATATACCATAATTTGTTAGTCATCCCCCAATAGGTGGGTACCACCTTAGCTTCCAGTTTTTGCTACTATGAAAACAGCTACTATAAAAATACACACACACACACACACACACACACACACACACACCACACACACACACGTTTTCTTTGATACCGAGGGCATATGCTTAGTAGTTGTATGTAATGCTATTTTGGATAATTTTTTTTTTATCATGACATACCAAGGAAATCTCTTTGCCCTGTGATTGATAGAAAGAAATAATTCTGGCCAATCAGAAAAGAATTCCTCAGCACTCCCTAGAGGAGCTCTCTTTCCCTCACAGAGGAGAAATGTTTCCATTGTGGTAGAATGTATCTAACTTTATTTCTCTATTCTCCTTATATTTTAAAAATGTTATAATTCTAATTTTGGTCTTCTAGGAGTTCATGCACCATTTGTAACAAAGGAACTATTTGCCTCTTTTAATATAATGCTGTATTTTTGCAAAACTAACTGAAGCATTGTGACAATTAAAAAAGTTCCAAGAGACATAGTTTCTGAATAATTTAATAATTTATTAATAAGGCCAGCATGTTTATTAATAAAAGGATGGTCATTTGGCTGTTTCTCTTAGACCAAATACCCCTCCTAGTGGTGGATTCACAGTTTATCTGCCCTTCAAAGAGTAGGTGTTCCTGAGGGGTGGAAATCAACAACTGATTAACAGTTAATTAGAAAATGAATATTACAATGGAGGCTGGGCTATATTACAGCAAGGTTCTTGGGGTACATGGCTTGGATCAACCAAATCTTGATGAAAGAAACTTAACAGTTTCCGTATCACTTGTCTGACAAAAGAGAGAACCAACACTTCCCCAGACTTGTCTGAGCAAACACAATGAGCAGGAATGAATGCGCCCATGAGCCCAAACTTAAAATTTCTTTTACTGTCTATTAGATCTTGGCCTGGGTATATCTCTGCCTAAGATTTCCTACTCAGATTGATTTCTAGATGAGGAAGTAGAAAATAGTTATTATTCAATAATCATTTTTCACAGCACTATCTCCTTAATGAAGTCTTACCTATTTATCCCCTATACATAGTAACCTGTCCTAATTACTAGAGTCCATAATTGACCACTGGGCTTTACATAACATTTTTTATTATGTCTTTTTAATGTATTTGTCATGTATTACTAATGATAGACACTGTGATTATGTCTTGTCCCTCCACTATTCTGTCAGCTCCATGAGGGCAGAGATGTCAAGTTTTATATCCTGCAAGATGTAGCATAGAAGTCTCTGCATAGTAGGGGCACATACTTAATAAATGTATATTGAATTGAATTGATATTGTTAGGCATCAAGTGACTTATTATTAATGAGGGGAGTTGAACTGGATGAATGACTAACAGGGTCACTTGAGACTCTTAATCTACAATACATTTTTGTAGACTTTGTAAAATATGTTTTTCCCTTCTTAAGCCCCCTCCCCACTTTTTTTGGGTTGTTTCTTGATACATCTATTGGAGGTATCTCTAGTGATAGTATAACTGACTTCGATGTAAATTATGTGTTACCGAGATTGATTGTGCTTTGTTGAGAGTTTATTAGTTGTTACTGTTAATACTGTTAATAAAAATTAATAGTTTTAGTGTTTTAAATGTGTTCATTTGTTCAGAATATTCTCCTAAATTATATAAACAGTTTAGATGTAAGCCTTTGATTTATCAAAAGTTATTTTGGAATAAACCAGTACAGTAATACAGGTACTTACATAGTCCTGCTTGGGTTGTTGTAGTAATATAATAAGTAGTATTTTTTGCTGATGATATAGGAAAAATCAGAATACCTCAATGTGTCACTTTTTGTTTCTCCTATCCTCACATGATACTGCCCTGATTAATGATGGTATGATCATCAACGCTGTTCACTTAGGGAAAACATCTGTTTTTACTGGAACATAAAAACCTTATAATTAAACCATTTTTTATTCTTCTTAGTTTGGGTTTAAAAAAAACCAACACCAGTGGGTTGCTTTTAATATTCAGTGTACAGATGGTTCAGTTTTTTTTTTGGTAGCTAATTTTTATATACATTTTTTGTTTTTATTTTGTACAGAATGGAAAAATACTAGTAAAAAGACATACAATTTTAAAACTAAGGTTCATTTATTAACATTTTAATAAGAATTTTGCTTTCAAACATATTATTTCTGTACTAGTATCCTCATCACAACGACATGATTGACAGCCCTTAAGTACTATGAGTATCAAAACAAGCATGATTGGCAGCTCTAAAGCAGTTACCACGTGCAGTGAATATCATCTGTACATTTGTTTGACACTGAGGTGGAATAAACAAGCTAATTTCACAGTCTTTGTTTCTAATTCAGGCTATGGTATATAGGGTTAAATGAAAAGTGGAACATATATTGAATGTTTAAAGATGCTAACATTTTCAAAATAATTGAGAAAGAAGGGAAAATCAAGTATTTCAGTTAAGTACCTCATTATGTTTCAGTACATAGCTGTTTTTAAAAAATAGATTTACTTTTAAATGGACCCTTTAAAACAATGATATATATGTATATAGCTATATACACATATACATTCATGTTTACATAGATATAGTTATAGATATATATATAGAGATAGATATATAATAGAGGGGACCTATAATATATATTTATATACAGAAATATTACATGTCTATGTATATATTTTTCTTACATATGTATATATTTTCATATATTTATATTTTCAATGGCACATGTGTTTTTTTAAACTTTAGACAGAAGACTTTTATTATAATACATCTGTAAATGAAGTGGGATAACTTTTAAAAAATTATGTCACAAAAGGTTTGACTCCATAGGCATCAAGTAATTTAAATATTACACTAGAATGTAAGTTATTTCTGCCAGAAAAAATGGTATAGAAATTTTCCATTGGCTCATTTTTATTTTATTTTTTTATTTTATCTTGCATTGTTTTCCATGT